TTCTATTCATATACCCATCCAGATGTCTTTTAAATGTTGTAATTGTACCTGCCTCCACCACATCCTCTGGTAGCTTGTTCCATATATGCACCACCCTCTGTGTGAAAAAATGACCCTTCAGGTTCTTTTTAAACCTTTCCCCTCTCACATTAAATTTTAGTTTTGCACTCCCCCACCCTAAGAAAATGACCTTGGCCAATCACCCTATCCATGCCCCTCATTACGTTTTAAACTTCTACAAGGTCACCCCTCAGCCTCCAACGCTCTAGGGAAAAAAAAACCCAACCAATCAGCATCTCCCTATCACTCAAACTCCCTAATCCCAGAAACTTCCTCGTAAATCATTTCTGTATCCTCTCAAGTTTAGCAACATCTTCCTATAGAAGAGTGAACAAAATTGTATGTGGTATTCTAAAAGTGGCCTCACCAATGTCCTGTACAGCAACATGACATCCTAACTCCTATACTCAATGTTCTGAGCAATGAAGGAAAGTGTGCCAAATGCCTTCTTCACTACCTTGTCTACCTGTGACTCCACTTACAAGGAACTATGCACCTGCCCCCCTTGGTCTCATTATTGGCAACACTGCCCACGTCCCTACCATTAGCTGTATAAGTCCTGCCCAGATCGGCCTTATCAAAATGCAACACCTCAAATTTATCTAAATTAAACTCCTTGGCCCATCGGCCCATCTGATCAAGGTCCACTGTACACAGAGATAGTTTTCTTCACTGTCCACTACACCACCTATTTTTGGTGTCACCTGCAAACTTATCAACCATGCCTCCTGTATTCACATCCAAGTCCTTTATATAAATGACGAAAAGCAGTGGACCCAATACAGATCTTTGTGGCACACTACTGGTCACAGCCCTTTAGTCTGTCTCCTACCTTCAAGCCAGTTTTGCACTCAATTGGCTAGCTCCCCTGGATCCCATGTGATCTACCCTTACTAACCAGCCTACCATGTGAAACCTTGTTGAACACTTTGCTGAAGTTCATACAGACAATGTCTACCACTCCGCTTTCATCCATCCTCTTTGTTACTTCCTCAAAAAACATGATGAATTTATTGACAAACAACTTCCCATGCACAAAGCCAAGCTGACTATACCTAATCAGTCCTTGCCTTTCCAAATGCATGTAAATCCTATCCCTCAGAATACCCTCCAACAACCTACCCACCACTGACATAAGGCTCATTAGTCTATATTTCCCTGGCTTTTCCTCACCCCCTTTCTTAAATAATGGCACCACATTAGTGAACCTCCAGTCTTCCGCCACTTTACCCGTGGCTGAATGATATAAATATCTCAGCACAAGTCCCAGTAGTCTCTTCCCTAGCTTCCCACAAAGTTCTGGGATACACCTGATCAGGTACCAGGGATTTTAAGCCCTGTAGCACCTTGTCTTTTCAAGACATCACTATTTATTCCCCCAAGCTTCCTAGCTTCCATTGTCATTCTTCACAGTAAATATTGACACAAAATATTTGTTTAGTGTCTCACCCATTCCCTGTGGTTCCACACATAGACGGCCACATTGATCTTCAAGGAGCCCTATTCTCTCCATGGTTACTCATTTGCTGTTCATGTACTTTTTTAAATCTCTTTAGATTTTCTTCAACTCTATTTGCCAAAGCTATTTCATGTCCCCTTTTTGACCTCCAGATTTCCCTCTTAAATATGTTCCTGTCCTTCTGTCTCTTTCCACATGTCATAATTTTTAAAAATCTTCAAACAAATTGCACACAAAGTTAGCGTGGTGAACAGATCAATAATTTATCTTATGAATGGTGTTCAAAATTTTCATCCCCATATTGCTCCATAGATAAACACACTGCAATCAAGATTGACTGTATTCAGAGCATAATCCGTATATAATGTCTATATACACAAATGTCAGTAACATTTTTAGGGGTAGACTTCAATATGTTTTTGTGAAACTTAAAACAAAATTACTGTGATTCTCATTAAGCAACAAGAATTGGGTTTTTTTGTGAGATGCTCTGAAAACGTTTTCTTCCAGCTAAAATACAAAGGGTAAATTTCTCCAGTTCTATTATTGCCTCTGAAATTAACAACATTTTTCAGCAGAGCCCTCCCTATCTCCTCAGCACTCAAAGTGAGAACCAAAACCTATACTTAGGTGTCTGTTGGTGTTCCCACACAAGGATTGAAGGAATGGTGTTCTTTGACACTAGGACCAAGCCAAATGTTGCATCTTTCATGTGCGGTTAGAAGAAGTAACACAAGAAGTAGCAAGTGCCACCAAGCTCACTGTATGAAGGGTGTTTAAGAAGGCAGAGAGTTACAGGGCAATTTGAAGTATTGCAAAACAGACTGTATTAATCCTCAGAATAAAATCCCTACATGTTTGATTTTGAATTTCTCTTTTTTTGTTTTTGATTTTTGTTTTGATTTGTTGAGATCTGTAGAGAAAGGAACTACGCAGAGCTTCATTGTACCCTGCAGGCACACTCCCTGACTAGAACTGGCGACGATGTCAGCAGAGTGCATCTGTTCTCACTGTGTGTTTGCCTGCTGACATATGTGGAGCAGCCAGTTAACATAAGATTGTGCATTATAGCCAGGAGCTGGTTGAATCAATTGAGCCAGTAACAGAAATAAGAGAGAGGAAACTAAGTCACTTGCATTGAAATTGTCGTACTCCCATCTCTGAATCAGTAGGTATGGGTTCAGGTCCCTTTCCAAAAACTTAAACAAAACACTTAGTCTTACATTCCAGTGTAAGGCTGATGGAGTGCTGCACAGTTGGAGGACTCACCTTTCAGATTGTACGTTAAACTGAGATACCAGCTACTGTCTCAGGTGAACATAAAAGATACAGTGACACTTTTCAAAAAAGGGCCAGCAGTGTCCTAGCTAATTTTCTTCTCAATCATCATCACCAACCAAGAAATAAAAACAAAAAAGTGCTGGAGAAATTCAGCAGGTCTGACAACATCTGTGAGCAGAGTTAATGTTTTAAATCAAATATGACAGTTCATCGGACAAACAAGAGGCATTTTGGATGCAAAATATTAACTGTTTCTTAATCCACAGATTCTGCAGACCCGTTGAGTTTCTCCAGCACTTTCTGCTTTTATATCAGATTTCCAGCATTCATAGTATTTTCTTGTTATTATCATATTCTCGATTTATGGGATATATTCTTGCTCGCTGTGTGTAAATTGATTGCTACATAATGACAGTGATTACACTTAGTTGACAAAAAGCACTTTGAACATAAGAGCCAAAGAAATAGGATTAAGAGTAACGATTAGCTCCTTCAAATTCATTCCACCACTCAGTAAGTTCCTGGCTGATTTTCTACCTCAATGTCACATTCCCATACTATCCCCTTGATATCCAAAAGTCACCAATTATTGTCTTGAATAAATTACCTGACTCCAACACTTTCTAAGGTAGAGGATTCAAAAGATTCATAACCATTTAAATGAAAGAATTTCTCCTCTTCTCAATTCTAAATAGCTAACCTGTTATTCTGAGACAGATGCGTATGTACCACAGCCAGGAAAAACATCCACCCATCTTACCCTTCATAAATTTTATATGTTTCAATTACAGCACAGCTCATTGTTCTTAAATCTACAAAATACAAATTTAACCTACTTATTCACTTCTCCTGGTACAAACTCTACCTTTCAGAAACATGTCTGTGTAATCTAATTGGGATGTGAGCAAT